ATTTTCGAAATGCGATTCTACAGGGCATAGCATGGCGTAGCTAATATCATAATAAGGGCATAGCAAAAAACGGGCCTCAAATCCAACCTGCGCAGTGTCCCAAACTTTGCGACAAACAAAAAATGAATTATATAGTGTATGTTTTTGCAATTTTGAACTCAGATTCCAAGGCCCCGACACATCATAACCTTGACTGATTCATTTTGTTTCCCCAAAGAAATCGAATCAAAAAAAAAAGGCACCCCGAAAACTAAGAACCACGCGTGTGCCAGTCGGCGCAGGCATGTCTGCCCAACGCGCCCATCTCCCTGTAACCCTTGTTCACTTAATCAAAGAGCAATTGTCACAGATTGGCACAATAATCTACGGAGTAAAACAACAACAACAACAACAAGTGTCAGTTTGGTATCACAGTTATTCCTTCAAGATAAATAGTCGTAAAATTCATGCGTGGCAACATGGATCGCCCATGCCCACATGTTGCGAATTTGTCCATTTCTGAATTCAAAATGTTTCACATACAAAAAAAACGGAACTGACCAAAACAAAATTTGTGGTTCCGGACTGTGTTTTCTAATCTGTTCACCGTGTGTACACAATGGTTGATGATCATGACATGCACATGAAAATGGCACATTCAATCCAGAAATGCACCAAGTCCGTAGTTTTTCAACTCAACCTGCCATTCAACAAAAATGTGCCCTCGTCGCTTGTCATCATCAAACAACGGACTCCCTTCCCGGCAAGGACCACCGGGCGTCACAGTTCAGAACCCTGTGAATTTCAAGGTGGCCATTTGCAAATACATAATTCAATTTGCAAAAAATAAGAACGTGCAGTAACAATGGTCCGAACATGGCTCGCATCCAAATGTTGCACCGAATTGTGACGCATTTCGGATGTGTTTTGATTAATTAGTTGTTGCATGTTTCAATGTTGGCGCGACGCCTACCATGGGGGTACGCACCCCAGTATCAAACGTACAAAGGTTGTACTTGATTTGTTCCTGCAACGCCAAAACACTGAACGGTCGGTTTCACCTGTTTGGAGCCACTTGCATCAGTCGTCACATTGATAAAAACAGATATTCCACACCTGAACATGCTCCTGCATATTGGGTATGACATGCTAGTTAAAATTTGACACCCCACGTTCAAATCGTGCGATTTTAGCACGTTTTGACCTGTACTCTTTGCAACATGTTTCCATTGTTACTACTTTGCACCGCAGGGTTAGTGTAAACTGTGTAAACCCATGATTCCATTTCTCTTGATGCATCTGTTCACCCACGGTTTCTCTCACCCAGCGCTGTTCAACGCTCGGGCGCTCGAGCTAGGCCACACCACCACCGCGACTCGGCCGCGATGATCGCCATTTCCACCAAAGCCGCCTACATGATGGTTTTCTTCATCGCAATCATAATTTCTACCCGGTAGTGCCCGGCACGCGCCTGGGCGGAAGTTTCGAAAATAGGACATAACGATTTTACCTTTGATTCGGTCCGCCAAAATGATTTGGTCCGCCAAAACTCAGCTCTATGTTTTGCAAACAACATGCAAACAACACTAAAGAACGGCAAACTGCCAGAATAAAGATTTTGTGGGTGCATTTTTGCTTTGACTTCCATATTTCACCGCTGCAGCTCCATATTTTTTTCGTGGATTGGAACAGTAACATGTCATTTTACTAAGGCCCAGCACCTGAGTAATCATTGGATATGAAAACATTGTTGGTTTCACGATGTTTCTTAAGATTTGTAATTTTACACAATTGAGAACCCAAAAGATCCATGATTATGTAATAATATGCAAATATCATTTAGTTTGGGGATCCCCCATTTGTGGAAACACCACATAAATGTTGAAAAGCAACGTTGTGTTGGCTGAGAAGCATATTATTGTGTTGAAAAGCGTGGAAGTGTGAGGAGAACTCAAAATTCAAGGGGCCATATTTTCAAGATCTTCAAGAGGAACTATCAGGAGTTTTTAAAACTATATATATCAATTTACTATGCTTAGCTCACAACATGTAAAAAATAATGTTGAAACTGAAACGGAACCGGTCCCAGTAAAACACCTTTTGATGCAGGGGATGCGCAGGGAGGGTGAGGACGGCTAAAAAAATCAGGGGCTTATGCCACAATGCAGCTGCCATATATTTGTTTATTAACTATATATATGTTTGTGAAGTCACTTGCAAGTGCAGTTGCTGATCTCGAACTCTTTTTTGAAACGTGGGGCGACGACAAATGGATCACCGTGCGGTGTGGTTAGGCTGAGTTGATGTGAAACGGGTGGTTAGTGGGTGGGTCCTTTTGACCACACTCCAACTCCTTGTTCCCCCCAACACTAGCGGATGCTACATCGAATTGTGTTCCATCCACAGCCCCCTCACCCTTGTATCCATCCACACACTCCTGTTTGCAGCGGATAGATCCTCCCTACTACTTATGGACGCCTACCCTTTAGGTATCCACCACCCCACAAGGCCCACCAAAGCTGCAACACGCGCAACCGCCAGACGGCTCCCCTAGGCGTCATAGGAGCCGGTTGCCAACACTAACCACAGTCGCATCTTTCTTCGAAAAGCTTATCCTGAGAGTAACGTGCAAGTGTGCAGTTTTAGCCCGTGATCTCGAAATCTTTTTGAAAACGTGGGGGCGACGACAAATGGATCACCGTGCGGTGTGGTTAGGCTGAGTTGATGTGAAACGGGTGGTTAGTGGGTGGGTCCTTTTGACCACATCAACTTGTCCTATTTTAATGACTTCCCACCGCAAGTGCAGTTGCTGATCTCGAACTCTTTTTTGAAACGTGGGGCGACGACAAATGGATCACCGTGCGGTGTGGTTAGGCTGAGTTGATGTGAAACGGGTGGTTAGTGGGTGGGTCCTTTTGACCACATCAACTTGTCCTATTTTAATGACTTCCCACCGCACTCCACCCTTGACCAAGTAAAAGCTGCACACGACTATGGCTAGTCTTTGCTGTGCCAACACCATTCGATTTTCTTCGAAAAGCTTCATCCTGAAGTCACTTGCAAGTGCAGTTGCTGATCTCGAACTCTTTTTTGAAACGTGGGGCGACGACAAATGGATCACCGTGCGGTGTGGTTAGGCTGAGTTGATGTGAAACGGGTGGTTAGTGGGTGGGTCCTTTTGACCACATCAACTTGTCCTATTTTAATGACTTCCCACCGCACTCCACCCTTGACCGAGTAAAAGCTGCACACGACTATGGCTAGTCTTTGCTGTGCCAACACCATTCGATTTTCTTCGAAAAGCTTCATCCTGAAGTCACTTGCAAGTGCAGTTGCTGATCTCGAACTCTTTTTTGAAACGTGGGGCGACGACAAATGGATCACCGTGCGGTGTGGTTAGGCTGAGTTGATGTGAAACGGGTGGTTAGTGGGTGGGTCCTTTTGACCACATCAACTTGTCCTATTTTAATGACTTCCCACCGCACTCCACCCTTGACCAAGTAAAAGCTGCACACGACTATGGCTAGTCTTTGCTGTGCCAACACCATTCGATTTTCTTCGAAAAGCTTCATCCTGAAGTCACTTGCAAGTGCAGTTGCTGATCTCGAACTCTTTTTTGAAACATGGGGCGACGACAAATGGATCACCGTGCGGTGTGGTTAGGCTGAGTTGATGTGAAACGGGTGGTTAGTGGGTGGGTCCTTTTGACCACATCAACTTGTCATATTTTAATGACTTCCCACCGCACTCCACCCTTGACCAAGTAAAAACTGCACACGACTATGACTAGTCTTTGCTGTGCCAACACCACTCGATTTTCTTCGAAAAGCTTCATCCTGAAGTCACTTGCAAGTGCAGTTGCTGATCTCGAACTCTTTTTTGAAACATGGGGCGACGACAAATGGATCACCGTGCGGTGTGGTTAGGCTGAGTTGATGTGAAACGGGTGGTTAGTGGGTGGGTCCTTTTGACCACATCAACTTGTCCTATTTTAATGACTTCCCACCGCACTCCACCCTTGACCAAGTAAAAACTGCACACGACTATGACTAGTCTTTGCTGTGCCAACACCATTCGATTTTCTTCGAAAAGCTTCATCGTGAAGTCACTTGCAAGTGCAGCTGCTGATCTCGAACTCTTTTTTGAAACATGGGGCGACGACAAATGGATCACCTCCCCCTTTTTCCTCTTTTCATTTGTTTCGCTCCATTCACTTCCGCCAGAAAACTTTGAGGCATTCAGCAGCTTTGTCAGAATCGTTTGATCCGGTTTCAAAGAAAGGGTGCAGCTGAAAACGTGAAGGGAGGTCAGCAATGTTTGCTTCCGTCGGAACTCTTGCAAACCATGCACTTGTATTGTTTGCCACCTCCATTTGAAGGTGGGGTCTCATTACAGCTCCAGCCACCACACCAAGGCCTACGCCACGTATGAGGGCATGCCTTACACTGTCATTGTCAGTGTAGACAACGGGATAAGAGGCTTTTAGGTATTCTTTCCAAGCTTCCAAGGCAAGACATGCAGCTAAAAGTTCAAGCTCATATATTATTGTTTCCTTGTCGCTTGCACCAAAAACCTGGCACATATCTTCTTCCAACTTCACAGAAAACCATGCACGGCATTGACCTGTAGTGTCTACCAAAACTGCACCAAGGCCACCGCTCTTTGTATCTTTTTCATATGCAGCGTCTGTGAACACCAACCATTCAGTGAAGGACACAGCATTGACTGTCTTAGGTCCTGCTGTCTCCAAACGCTCAATCATCAAAAGAAGCAGGTGCTGAAGCTCGTCATCCGACTGAGGATTTGACCCATAGGCATGGTCAATGAGGCGCTTCAAAATTAACGCCCCCAAACGGCCGTGGAGATAGCCGTCAGCAAAACCAAGCCTGCCACGTAACTTCAAGGTGTCATGCCTGTTCAAAGTTCCAGCCTCCAAGAAACCACGGATTTGTTGTATGAGGTCTGCAATTCTGGACTCTGTATTGCGTATCTCTAAAGTGCCCTGACACGACATGTTCAAGTTGAAGGCAACTCCAGGCGCACAGCATAGTTCAGAGAAGGTCGTGGCCTTCTTTCCTTCCGTAGCAAAATCCCAACCAGTAAAAAGAAAAATCAGCTCCATGCAATTCTTAGAAGATTTTTTCAGACGCTCATTGCTTGCAAGGATGAAGTCGTCGTACAAATTTGTAGTGATGAGATGAGTTCCACGACATGCAATACAATGTATCATCCGAGCCAAACGCAAGAAATTGCAGACGCTGTGAGTCGCACCAAAAGGCAAGGTACGTGACCTATAAACCTCCACTTGACCATTTTCGTGGTTGTATATGCAAAAATATCCAAATTTCAAGTGATCACTTCGGACAGGCACCTGACGGTAAGCACTCTTCAAATCATATGTTTTTGCAAACAGTGATGAATCGCGTCCCAGCGCTCCCATACCGTCAAAGTACGCTCGTATTGCAGCATTGAAAGTGTCAACCACATGCAAGTCCAACTTTGTGTGGATAGTGCAACTGTCATTCACACCAGAAACAGAATAATCTTCAATCATCCTTATCTTCTGACCTTGCTGTAAAGGGAACCTACGGGATATAGTCGACCCGTACTCCAAATCATCCAAACTCCACGGGCCATCCGCCCAACCACAAGCAATCTCGTCTCGGGTCTCCTTTAAGACAGCCTCGTCCAAAGCTTTGTCTCCAGAACTTCTGGTCATGCGCATAACCAATCTGTTGCGCATCTCGGCATGCGATTCCAGTTGCTGTACCGTAGTTATGCAAGGCTTGAAGGATGGCTGAAACATGGAGGAGGAGTCAATTTCACCAGCAAGTGTTGATCCCTTTTCCAACAACTGTAGGACGTCGACATCCTCATAGTTTAGGCTTTCAAGTATTTCACGCGTCAGTTTCAAGCGTTTCTTTGCAGTTGCAGGATGTCTGCAACCAGCTGCTTCTTTCTCAGCAGCACCAAGCTCGGCCGCCCTGTGTAGCCACCTTTTGCACCAATCCAGTCGATGTTGGGCAGCTTCTTCAAAACTGTGGTTAACCTGAAAGTCAATTGCATTTTCTATATCATATAGCACCTGCCTGCAGAAATTGGCAGGAGGCAGTCCAAATGCAACTTCAAAACATGCATCGCCTTGTTGTAGCCCCCCCATTATGGAAAAACGTGATGTTGTTGCAGTCCGGCGCAGAAAGCGCGCATGCAGTGGTACTGTCGCCGGTTTCCAAAAGCTTTGTAGACTTGCTATGCAGAGCAAGCGGGATATCTGAAGCATGCGCAACATAGAAAACTCCAACAGCAAATGACTCTGGAATCAATGGGGGAAGCTTGTTCTTCCTGGGTTGATTGAAAGAAGCAATGCGGGCTGTCTGCATTTCAAAAAGTTTGTTGTCCTTGACATCAAATAAAGCATCAGGCATCAGTGTCATCCCTTGTCGCTGCAGTTGCCTCCAGATGCACTGAACCAGTGCAATGCAGAAACGTCTGGGGTACTCCGCCTCCAGACTTGTAGCGTAAACCTCTTGTCCCTGTGCGTCTTTTGCTTTGCCCCGAGGTTGGTGTAGATGTGAACTGTCGCACTGAACATTTAATTCGTCTATAGCACTGAAATTGGCAACCAGTCTTGTCCTTTCGGTCTTGATCCACCCATCATACACATGTGTGAATCAGAATGGTACAAAGTGACTGCTTGTTGAAGGTCCACAAAGGGCTCAGTCAGCCAAAACAGGCTAGTGGTGGGGTTCTCCATGGTCACCAAGATTCCACGGAATGCACAAAATTGAAACAAAAGCACAGGACTCAATGTACATCGAATTTGCCAAATCGACACGTTGGCATTCGCCAGGCGTCAGATCTGGGAGTCCCATGGGGAACTCATCCGACCTTAAAAGGTCTGGGTCCCCCGTTCCGAATCTGCCGTGCTCTTGAACACGTGCCGCAAACTGGGGCATTGTGTGCCCAAGCCAGCAAATCTGATTCAAGCCAGTGATACAGGAGTTCCTTGTCCTTGGGATCAAGAATGTCAAAGACAAAAATGGTTGCTTTGCTCCACGTTTCTTTGTTTTGTCCAAAGCTATAGATCCATCCAAACCATACTGTCTTGCGACTGAACAAAGTGTAGCTGTACCTCTGGAGACCTCAATCATGCAGCAGTGATTAGCCATGTATCTGTCCAGTCTTTCAGAAATTGTCAAGATCCTTTCTTTGGGTGGCTCAGCAGCCCATGCGGCTGCAAGCATCGGGGTTCTGCACATAAGTGTCAACCTTTGGCGCACTTCTCTCCGTCTTTGGCCTGGTCGCAGCCCTTTAAAATGTTTATCCCAAAACAAAGAGAGTCGCCACTTCCTGTACGATGCCACTTGTTCCACAATTCTGCGGGCATTGGAGGGCTTTTGCCCTTCTTCCCTTTTCCTTTTCTCTTCTTCTCATTGTTGGCCGCACTGTTCGGCTTCGGACCCTGATTGTAAGGGCTTGGTCTCTGAACAGGCCCCTGTGAACTCTGAGCTCTGACAAGTGGCGCCAGGTATAGTGCAATCGATGGATCGCTTCGAAGTTCAAGCAGCTTCAAACCAAGTGGGTATGATCCATCTGGAAGTTGTCGAACTGCTCCCATGCTGGCTCCAAGTCTAGTGAAGGCAGCTTTGTCACACAACATGACTTGGTGCAGTGAAGGTTTGCTGTAACCTGGTGGTGCTTCACGTTGCATGGCTTGCATGAGGAAGTTCAGCCATGTAGTATGCTGCTCGTATGTCATCAGCTTTGCAAACTTGAATGCAATACCACGCCTTGTCATTGCTTGCAAGAACTAGATCTCACTTGAAGTTGGTGCAACCAACTTGTCATCCTTGCCCTTGATTACCAAGTTCCCACCTTCGAAGGCAAGCTCTTTCGTTTTCGTACTCCCTTGCACCTCTTGAGACCTCGAAGTGCAAGAGGCCGGATCAATGTATTTCAAAGTGTTGCTCTCCTGGATCTGGCATGCTTTCTCCAGCAGAAGGTGAGATGGCTCGTATTCGTCTGCTATACACAAGCCACCAAGCTCTGCACGTATTGCATTCATTCTCGTCTCTCTCTCTCTCTCTCTCTCTCTCTCTGCCTCTCTCTCTGCAGCGCCAATGCGCTTTGGCGCACCGTCATCACGGTGTTCAACCACCTGTCTCAAGCTTGCAACCAAAAGGGTCTGTGCCTCAAAGGCCAAACGCCTGATGCCATTGCTTTCAGCCAGAGTTGGGTCTCTCCCCAATGCAGCTCTCAGAAAATTGTCAGCTTCCTGGGTTGCAATCGGCTGCCCAGGTTGACCAACAGCAAAGGCTAGGGTCGACAGCGTGTTCGCCCCAGCATCTTTTACTGCTTGCACTGTCTCATTGCTGAGCCCGATCTCTCTAGCCCGTGCAGTAAATTGGGCTTCTGACTCCAACAACAAGCTCATCGCGGCGACGTATTTCTAAGACCTCACACGCAAGCACCTAAGTGAAAACATGTCAAATGCCAGTGTATCCTGACCAGTCTTGCCAAGATTGAAGCACATAATTACACCGGCATAGACCCCAGATAGAAAAGATTTCAGAAACGCTTTTTCATGCCGCCTCAATGGGTCAGTGATATAGCGGATGTCTCGACAAGCAAATTTCACAGCATCTGCTTACTCAATTGACATGAGCAAATATTCTTTGAAAACGCGTTTTGTTTTGTCTTGCTGAATGATCAAAATGATGATGCGTTTGGACTCAAAGATTTGCTTGTCGGATTGACATCACAGAGGTTGAGTCAAAAAAAAAGTGTTGTTCCTTGCCGCCCACGATTTCCAACCTTGGAACCTTGAAATCGCACTTGAAGGCAATCCTGGTTCCCAACGATTCAAGCAATTCTGGCAACTTTCATGCATCGGTATTGCTTGGTTTTGCGTAATGGGCCGGTAACAGAACGCTTTTTTTGGCTTAATGTTAGAATGATATGAAAACATGTTCTTTACAGCCTTTTTGTTTTGCTTAATGGGCCGGCATCAAGTTGCTTATCTGTAACACGCGGCAGTCCTTGGTAAACGCACACGCCTCCATATGACTAGGTTCTTATTTTCATCACGCTTTGATGTTTTCATATGACTAGGTTCTCCACGCCTGCCCACTGAACAAAACCATTAACGGACTACGATTGCAGAAATTGCCGGTTCCACAAAATTGAAACTCATGGTTCCCAACGTGGCAACCATAGATTACCATTTCCAGCAATTACCAAATCCTAAAATTTGGAACTCATGGTTGCCAACCTCGTAACCAAAGGTTACCATTGCAAGGAACTGCCGGCTCCCACACCTTGAAGCTCATGCTTCCCAACCTGGGAACGAAAGTTACCATTGCAAGGAATTGCCGGTTCCCAGAGGTTAGACCTCATGTTTTTCAACCTAAGCTGTTGTCATTGTAAGGAATTGCCGGTTGCGAAAGCTTGAAGTTTACTCACAAGCCCCCCTGCGGCTGATATCATGGTGCAGCTTTGAACTCCCACAGGCAGCTAAGCGTCTCCTTCGTGAGTTAGCAATGATGTGCGAGTTGCCAGAGACCACAACCCAGGCACTAGTCAGCCATATTGCCATACAGAACACGAACGGAGCAAGATGCAACTCAATATTTGGCCTCATTGGCGACAGTCAGCATTGCGTCCAGGGCCAAATTGCTCACTTATACAACCATGGTTCAACACTTCCTTGGCACCCTACAACTGCCTATGGCTGTCTACATGCTAGACTACTATCTGCCAATGCTCAGTCCCAATGAAGGCTACGATGAGACGGGGCTTACAATGCAGAGTGCCGGACCAATTCGTGAACCATGGCAACCAATTGCCTTCGAATTTCTTTTCAAAGGCAGTGAGTTTGGTCACTGGAGAGTTAAAGGAGGACAGGATGCATTCGCGTTCCGACACCCGAGCCTAGGCCAAACAGAAGTCTTCAGCCTCCTGGCAAGCGAGGCACACCACCACAAAGTTAGCCCCATAGGCACGGGAAGACTTGTTGCAATGGTAGGAACCACAGATGCTCCAGCGAGCGACGTCAGAAGCCTGCAAATCCTTTTTGGGCTAGTCCTTGCCATCACGCCACGCTCGTCCAAAAGTAAGGATGAACTGCCTGCCGCCCGAATACACAGGCAGTGCAACCCCAGATCCGTTGAAGTAGCTTTTCTCTCAGGGCCAGCCATCGACTTCTTTGCCCAAGCACAGCTTCTGGTACTGCAGGACTGGTATCTTGCCTATGGCCAAAGCCTGGAACCAATCGATGCTACCGTCAAGGGGGACGGAGGCCCACTCCCAGGCACCTTTTTCCTCCATACTATGTGGATGTTTGGATGCACCAAGCCCACCAGAGAGGTAATTGCTGTCGCGCAGACTCCCCCCTGCAGGTACCATTACTATATGCCGGCTAATTTAGCAGATGCAATGATCCGGCTATTGGACGGCTCATCCAATGAAGGTCTAACTACCCTCAGCCAAATCCTCCGTCGAGGCCAGCACACGTTGGGTCAGCTATGGACAAACCAACTCTCGCCACAAGCTACCGAAGACCTAAAGGCGGCCAATGCTGTCCTTCCAGGCCTGAGAGCACAATTTGAAGCAGCCCAGCCACATGAGCAAAGACAACCCCCCACATTCGTGGATGCAGAACTACTGGCAGGCACGACAGTCAACTTTCCACGGTCCTTGGTGCGCCTTGCCTGGATGTTGCAGCATGCCGCTACCCTCCTACCCATGGCCGGTGACATACAAGCGGTTTTAAACTCTCAGACCGCCGGAGTGAGCGACATCCATGCCTGGGGATTGATGCTCCCGTCTAGCTCAAAAGTCAGTCCTGTGACATACCACTCAGTAGTAGCAGTTAGATACCCTGATCTCTGCAAACTCATCAACGACATGTGGGAACTGGGCAGTTTTGCCTCCGGAGGACTTCCAGACCGGCCACCGGGGTTCCAGTTCGTGCTTTGGGACACCAATGCTAGAATTAATGGGCTAGTAGCGACAGACTTAGAAACGCTCGTGTCGGAGGTGCTTTCCCCCTTCCCCAGAAATGCCGGATTTGCCGATGGGCTGTTCGTAATGACCACTGCAAGAGACCACAAGAATAACTTGAACCGTTCAGTGCTTAAGAAGGATTATGCCCGCACTCTCCGTGTTGAAACAATCAATAGCCAACTCAGCAGGAGGAACAGCACAAGTAGCAATCGTAGCCCAGCCCAGTATTGGATTCCTGAACACGAAATACTACTCCAATGGCTCCCCTACGGAGGATACGGAAGACTGCCTTGGCCGAATCACTGTCGGACTCACCCGTTCAAAATCCTTGACCCTGTTGGTCTCCCCGTTAGACATGATGGTGCTTATGGGCATGGCTCAGGTGGTCGCGACCATAGCATATGGCATCCGGGGCCTTCGCAGAGGTGAGACGACGTGGGAATGGCCTGACTTCTACGCCGACCCAGAACAAGAGAATCTTGCACAGATGAGTAGATGGTCGCTGAATTCAACACAGCGAGCGAGATATCGTCTCATATTGGTTCGAGGGTCAGATCTTGGCTGGCTGAACAGAGATTGCCTCCAAGAAGTCAAGACAGGCCTAGCAGCTCAACATAAATGGATTCCTATTCAGAATCTCCCGTTCCCGGAAGTTGTCCTGTATGCCTATGCGGCTGATCGCACACCCTTTCCCACATATGTATGCCTGCCTTCAGGATTGTACAAGGCGCGTACTGGGCAAGTTGTAGCGCAGACCGGCCCAGATCAGGAAATCTACTTTTTGATGGATGGCGGGTACACCCAAAACGCTACCAATCCCCGGCCACTTGCCACGCACTAAAGAAGCGCCAGTCCAAGATATCGCTCTGACTGCACCTGCACCTGGTACAGAACCTACTCGGTCGCCGGAAGAAGAAGCGAGAGACATCCTTGCTGCAGCTGCTAAGAATCAGGCCGAAGATGGGCCAAACACAAGGAGGGCAGCAGTCCGTGCATGCAAGTACTTAAGGGCTATGGTCAACCAATATGACTCCACCATACAAGAAGTGCACAAGGCGGCCCGCACCCACACACAAACGAGCAAGAGCACAGCAGGGGCAACTGCAGATTATCGACCCCAAGGAGGGGCGCTTCCAGCCCAGAACTAACTTCAGAGTTACTGCATTGTCTGTCCACGCTACCCGACCCATGGCCCCTGGCTAAGATCACGATCGATATGGAGAAACCAAGCCAGTGGGTCTCCAAACTGTGCCAACTCTACTTTGCTGACGAATATGCGGCGAACAGTCGGATTGCCCTCGCCTACACATGTCCCAGACATTGAGTGCGAAAATCCAACAGGACCTAATTACAACCACTAGTCGCGCTCCTAACGTCGCAAGGGGTCGGCTTAACTCCGCGTCGAGCGTTTAACAAATTAAACACGAATTCCCCCAAAACACGACAGCTTCACTGCGAACTCTCAAATCCTTTTCCACACAGGAAAACACGAAGGCAAGTTGTCTGTCATGCACATGCAGCATGCTATAGTTGGACTTCTTCTGTTTCAGCTGCTTTGCCTTTGCAACATGCAACGGCGGCGGTCGAAAAACATCATCATCATGTTGGTGAATTCATTGGTGATGAATTCACCATCTTTTCCAAAATAAATCAGCTTCACTTCCATCTTCTCTTCAAACGCACTATTTGCACAAAGTCCAAAAACATCCAAACTGTTGACAAAAATAGTTGGCAGCTTCCGAAAATAAAACACATCATGCAGAAAACAAGTCCAGTCAAGGTTGTGGTTGAAAACGCATGCACATGTGTTTGAAAAACAACGTTGAGCTTGTTCAAAAAGTCGTCGATAACTAAATCATCTTCAAATTCATTTGCAGTCCAGTAAAACTCATTGCAAATGAATTTCCATTCCAAAAACCTTCTTCTTCTCCACCAAGTTGACGAAAAACATTCACATGCACATAAAACGCATCTTCACGGTATTGTAACCAATTCCAGTTGTTCTCAAACCATTCTGCATCAATTTCAGAGTTCTGCCCAAATAAACCATTGACAACATCATGTTGTAGCCACCATGCAAGTTACATCCAGAAACGTAGCACATGCCGTCCATATGCACGGGAGTGTATATTTCCATACCCCCTTTTGCTGCGTTTCCCATCCATAGACAGCCAAAAATCCAGAGAAGTCTCAAAGGCTCGCATGCCACACATATGTATAAAGCGGTCATCTGTTCAACCTCCAGTGAGGACTTGCACACAAAGTCGCATCTTCACACCAGTTGCAGATGTATTGCAAAAATACCTGTGTACTTGAATTAGCCTTGTGTTGTAATCCATTGACCGTGTCCACATACTCATTGATGTAGAAAAATGAAAAAGTTTGTGCAAGAATGCCACATTGAAATTGCTCCACAACGAATTCCCTGCA